GCACAATCTGTTGTAACACATTCTAGCATTACAGCTGCTTAGGCTGCATTCTTTTTAGTAATACATGGAAATAGTTCTTGCAGGAATAAAGTGACAGCTCCCTGGCTGTGCCAAAATCTGTGCTTTTTTATCTTCTTTTTTTTAAGATCTAAATATTGCAGTGAGCCCATGAGTTGCTAAAAAGATGTGTCTTTCAGAACAGGTAAATTGCTAAGTATTTTGAAAGAAGCAAATTAAAATCTCTCTGCTTGTTGTTTCTCTATGTTGTTACCAAGTAATGGGTGCTGGGAGGAGGAATGTGGACTAAAATAAGATAAATAGAATTTTTAACAGGCAGTCATAGACTAGACAGTTTTCTCTATTAACCATTATGTAGATTCTCTTCACTGTGGCTCCTGCCTCTTTTTATGTCTAACTGTGCTGAGCATATATTAAAAATTTTTAATAGGATCCTTTCTTGCCTGCATCACTGAGCCTGTAATACAAATAATGAAATTAGTACAAGACTTAAAGCCTCTTCTTGTTTGCCTGAAACTTGGGCTAGAAATTGTTTTGCTCCTCCTCTGCCCCTCTGGGAGAGGATCATCTAATTGTCCTAACCCTTTCTCTACCCACCAAGAACAGTCATATATGCAAAGTGGGACAGTTTCCTATGGGATCTCCTGTGGGAATTTGAAAACAGTCTCATTGAATATTTTACTGTCTGCTTAATGTTGCTGACAGTGTAACTATCTCTTCTTTGAGGGCCTAGAAAGATAGAACTTCACTCTTAGGCATTTTGCCTACATATGTTTGTTTAAATACAAGTCTGGATAAACAGATATATGTGTGTGTATATATATAATGTACAGTTATTTTGTTATAAGCTTCTCACAAGCTGTGTACAGGTCTGTTAGTCCAAAGATTTCACAAAAGACAGCAGCAGTGAAGGAAGACAAATAAAGCAGCACTTGAATTCAAAAGAAGTTTGTTGATTCCAACTCATCTATCAGGCGACAGAAGGTGTAAGGAGAAGCACATGAGTTTTGATGTGTAAAGAGTAGCTGATAAGTGGGTAACAACTCAATTTCCTTTAAACTTATTCCAAGCTGCCTTTTGGAGAGTGTCCTGTTGTTTGGCCCAGGTTTCTGTTTCATCCCTACCTAGTGAATAAACACCCCCTTCAAGAGCTGGTGGTCACTCAGGGGTTGGCAACACTACCTCCCACTTTCCCAGAAGGGCATGTGTGTTTGTGGAAGAAAACCCCGGACTGTGTCGTCTGCTGACTCGTGGTTTAATCTTTATTTTGCACTTCCAGCTGATAAGACCACTTTGAGCAAAAGTAATACAGGAAATGATGCAGTGCAGAAACCAAGAGTGGCAGAAAGGGAAACGGAATGTACTGGCAAGGGCTCAGCCCTGCGGCCGCGCTCACTGCTTCTTGCAAACTAAAATCTCCACGACCCCGGACTGTGTCGTCTGCTGACTCGTGGTTTAATCTTTATTTTGCACTTCCAGCTGATAAGACCACTTTGAGCAAAAGTAATACAGGAAATGATGCAGTGCAGAAACCAAGAGTGGCAGAAAGGGAAACGGAATGTACTGGCAAGGGCTCAGCCCTGCGGCCGCGCTCACTGCTTCTTGCAAACTAAAATCTCCACGTACATTTTGGCAAGGGCTCAGCCCTGCGGCCGCGCTCGCTGCTTCTTGGAAACTAAAATCTCCACATACATTGCTCTTTGGTTTGTTTAGCTTAATACTGGTATTGGAGCTTAGTGTGACCAGTGTGCAGCAGCTAGAAAGCTAGAATTTTTCTCCTCTTATACTTTTCTCTCGGCCTGCTTAGGGTTTGGAGTGTTCTTAGGCTTTGTTCAGGCAGGCAGGACTTCAGTAGGAGTCCCTGGGCTGGAGGCTCTATCTAGTGCCACTCCTCCTGCTCCCAGCAGTTGTTGCCACAGAGATGCCAGCAGTTAAGGTAATACTTTTGATTGTGATGGTGGAATACATTTTGGAGTGCATAATTGTGGGAATGGGACATGTGATTGTTACAGGATTTGATTCAAAAACCTTCAGAAAATCTGTTCCTTTTGGTGTGACTACCTGGGGCTGCATCTCAATGATCATCATACTCGATCTTTGAGGTCTCTTTCAGTCAAGTTGATTCTATGATTCTATGATCTGGACCTTGTCAGTCTAGCTCATGTTAGGGTTGTATTTTCAGGGACTGATGTAAACATACAGCCTTAGTAGAGGTTACGTTTTCCTTTTCACAGCAAGTAGTTTGGTGAAAATGGGTTAGGCCTCGGTAGAATCATAGAGTCGTAGAATTTTAGGGGTTGGAGTGGACCTTATAGATCATCTAGTCCCAACTCCCTGTCCTGGGCAGGGACACCTCCCCACTAGACCAGGTTGCTCAAGGTTTCATCCAGCCTAGAACCATGTCTGCAAACATTATCCATGTTGAAAGAAGTTTAGGTCAAAATTTAGACTTTGTACTTTCTTCTTTATTAGAGCTTCAGCTCCAGCCTTTTAAATGAGGGGTTTGGGTTTATTTGTTTAATTTGAAGGGGTGTGAAGTAGAAAGCTTGATTTGCTGACATACTACTGAAACTTGTAATTTTTGTGTGTGAAACTTGTATCTTTTATTTGCAAAATACAGAAAAACATATTTAGAATATTGACTGAGATACAGACTATATATGAGTTGAGAATAACTCACAAACATATTTAAAGCACATGCAGTGGGGTTCTGGTAATTCAGTTCTTAAATTAGCACAGCATTTTAATCGAGCTCTTTACAGTGCACATAAGGATAGAGTATACCTGAAGTACAGTCAGTGACAGTAGTAGAATTTAAGCTCATTTAACATGCCCAGGTAACAAAACAAAGTCTTAAATTTGCCACAGGCTCATTCAAATCTTCACTGCATTGACGTTATTATTTCAAATGCAATTCTTAGCATAAAAGAAATGAGAAGTAGCAGTACAAAGTGCAGGTAGGCATGGCCTGTGTCTCAGTCCATAATCATGATTCACAGAAATGCAGTTCATGCATTCGGCCTAATAAAACTGTACCTTTGCAGTTAAATAACTGTTTTAGTGACTAATTAGAATCAAGTGAATGGTTTTCAGCTTAAGATACTTCAAATACAGTAATATACTATGAAACCATTACAGTGCATGACAGTCAAGAGAGTAAGTGCCATAGGATATGCAGTTTTAAGTTCTGCAGTCATTTCTTAGTGTAACTAATAAATTTGGTCTGATGTGGGTGTGCTGACACCTTCTATACCCTGTGTGTGGAGGTTGCTGGCTGGTTGGGGGTTTTTGTGTCGTTAGGATGGCAAGAAAAACATTCATATCCTTTTCCCCTTCCCCCTTCCTCTGCAACCTGTTGGTATCCAGTGCAGGATATGTTTCCTGTCTTGTCTGTCTGTTTGAAAATCAGTGGTGCAGTGCTCTTTGTCTCATTTTCCCCTCCCTGCCAGTTACTGGGTCTCTTTGACTTCTCCTGGCAGAGCCTTTTGCCTGCTCCCACCTCAAGCAAGTACAAAACTTGCCGTTCACAGCAGGGACTTCTTTTTATGTGGAGTTCCTCCCTCTCTTCACCCATCACTGCCATCCTGTTCCATGTCTCCCAGCTCGAGGACCACTGTGCTGTCTAAAATCCTCTTATCAGGACTTCCTCCTCCTCCTCCTTCCCATTCCTTCATGTGTCCTTGAGTTCCTCAGGTAGACATTGTACCAGGCAGGGTCGGGATGGAATCGGTGAAGTTCACGATAGGTTTCCCTCACAGTCTGCTTCTGAGCTGTGAGGGCTGTTTGGTGGGGTGGGGAGATGCACTTTTCTTTCTCATGTGAGAAGAGTGAGGGCAAGGATCTTTCTAGTTTCCTTCTTTGCTTTTTTTGCTTTGTTCCTCAAAGTAAGTCAGAGGTGAAACCAAACTGGTTTTGTTTCAGATCGTGCTGTGCTCAAGTCTAGCACAGTGATTTTTGAGCTGCAGTGACTGGCAGTTTGGAGGAAGCTGGGTAGCTGCTGTTGGAGCATATTGCTTCCAGCTGCTTTCTAAAATAAAGAGTGAAAAAAAGCCCTAGTGATCTTTCACTGGTTCCTTGGGACATTTTGCTGGTTGAGTTTGCAGCAGCTGACAGGCAGAGGGGAGTGCCCTTCGTACTCACGGTGCAGAACGAAATCTGAGGGACTGTTTTAGGCTAGATTTATTGTGAACTACATTTCTAATATAGGATTCTTGCCCTTTTGTGGAGAGTGTGTGACAATCATCTTGTGTTGGCTTTTTCCATGGAGCTTGTCACGGTGCTAACTGATGCCCTGTTTGGGCACTGAGCAGAAGTATTGTTTGAATCTGGCAAACACAGTTGCTGTCCCCCTTGCTGTGTGGCACAGAAATCACTGAGAGACCACACAGCAAACTGGTTGTGGGAACAAAGATGATGGGGACTTGTCCCACCACCTACCTCTACCCCTTACCCTTTCCTCCTGCTAAACTTACCCCTTGCCCCAACCTCTTTTGGTTTTGTTTGTAATGTGCCATTATTTTCCAGGGTCACTGCCTCATTTTTTCAGG